CTGGAAGAGGCCATCTATGAAGCAGAGAAGGGAGACCCGTCGGGAATATTTGTGGAGGGGGCTGCAGGGGCGGGAGGGGGACAGCCCACCCAGGAGAAACCAGAAGGGAACTCGGCTCTGACGCTGCAGGGGTGGACGTGATAAGGGAGCTGTTCACATGGATGCACGGATCCTACAGCCAGGTGGAAAACACCAGAACACCAGGAGGGCCTCCCTTAACATTTTTGTCTGTCTGGAAATCGGAGCTGCATTACAAGTGCCCGAGTCGAGTTCTGGCGTTAAGGGGTCCCCTGTGTGATGTGACCCTCCCTCATGCTCATTTCATGCCAAATCTGAAGCCAGGAGGCTGTCTGGGTACACACAGCACACCCAGCTTTGCTGTCACTGCCTTCTTCAATGTGAAGTGACGAAAATGGCCAGTGGTTAAGGGAAGTGTGCAAACGCAACACGAGGTCCAGATAAAGTACGGGAAAAAACGAGTTCAGAAGAAACAAGCGATCGTCTGGTACACAGATGAAAACAGAACCCCCGATATCAGACATTATTTCCGTAACAAAAACAGAGTGCCAAGGGGAAAACATCAACCACAGACCAGTCTTGGGAGATTAAATCTATGATCCCTGAAAGAAAACATTGCAAGTGCTGAAAGTCAAAATTGAGGAAATCTATTAGCACACAGAGTAAAAGCACAAGAAAACCTAAAACGAGACACAAAGGATGAACACAGGAGATCCGGCATCTGGTGGAGAGCAGGGCCAGGAGAGAGTAAACCTGAGGGTTGAGCTAGTTGAATGAAAAATAGAGCCTCAAATTAAGGCACACCATGGAAAAATTGCAGAACCCCAGGACGAAGACGTGACTCGCGAAGATTGTGGAGAAAAAGCAACATGTCCTCTCCCCAGAAAGACCCGGGGCTCAGACCAACACTGGTTGCCCCATCAACAACACAGTGCGGACACCCTCAAGCTCCAAGGGAAAATGGTTTACAGCTCAGTGGTACATGTCCAACAAAACTGCTGACCATGTGCAAAACCCCGGGGACTCTAATCTGGACTTCCCACACACCCACTACTAAGGAATGATTTGAGGACCAGCTCTAATAAAGTAAGAACATAAACCCAAAAGGAGGCAGACTCGTAGTGTAGAAATTAAGTGGAAACCATCAATCCAAAGCTAGGGGCTGTAGGTATGAGGCACAGAGCTTAGAAGATAGAGAATATGATTAACAGCGCCCAGTGGAATGAAGAAAAATAAAAAATGAAAGCAACCAGAAACTCCAGGTGAACAATAAAACCATATGGAACAAGCAAGCTGAATTGGGAGCTGAGAACGCCTTGATCCGCCGGGTGCGCTGGGAGCTCTACATGTTAGCGCTTCCAACAGGACTGGAATGACTTCTGTTTCACAGAGATACTGAGGCTGAGGGCTCTGAGCAGCTCGCACAAGGCTTGCTGCCTTGTCCCCCACAGCATGTGAGTCAAAGGAATGATGCACACCCGAACCCGGGCCCCTAGAAGGTTTGCCCTCAGGCTCAGTGCCACTCGTGCTCAGTGTGACGCTGTGAACTCTTAGGACAAGGCTGCACGGGTCCTCCCACCTGGTGCATCCCGGTGGCCTTGAGTCCTCTCCTCTGGGCAGCACCTAAGTGCGGTCACACCCACAGCTCAGCTCCTGGAAAGCTGTCCTCTGTCCTGAGCCAATAGAGTGTGAATGTCCCCTGAGACTAGAGGTAGGTCGGACTGTGTTGGAGCTGGGGGCAAACGGAAAAGTCAGAATTCGGGCCCTGCCTGCACTTAAAAGTTTATATTTTGTCCAGCATGGATTTTTTTTTTGCACAAATTTTTATTTTTAGAAATATTGCATGAAAATACTAATGACCTCGATGGCTCAAGTTTTTGTGCCCCCCCCCCACTTTGAAATTTGCATGTGAAGCTAATGCCTGGCTCTCCTCACACTCCACCAGCCCTGTGCTACCTGGGTACCTGGGAGAACCAGGGACCAACGGGAGAGAACCAAACTTGTGAGGGGACAGAGGAAGTCAAGGTGTGACGAGCAAAACTGGGAAAAGAGGAACAGCCACGTAGCCCACCTTTCAGGGGTGATGGGGTACACCTCCCACCGCGGGGTGGGATGAGGGTGTGTTAAGACCTTTTCTGTTGGACTTTTAAACTAATAAAGTATTACAAAGCGTTGACCAGAGAATTTAATAATAATAATAATAATAATAATAATAATAATAAAAAATAACGTAAACGAATCCTGAACTTGAAGATGGAGAGAAGGTCAAAATCCAGGGTCAGGCAGGTTTCGAAGGACAGACACATGGAGCTGTGTGGCAACGGATGAAGGGTTAGAGAAGAACTCACAGCCGCGGGACTGTGTGTGTACAAAGGAATCTGACCTGCCGTGGCTGCCGTGGCTGCCGTGCTGGAAAGTGGCCGTGAGAAGCCCCTGCGTGAATTCACTGGAATGCAAGTGTTCCTGGGGCATGGCCCAAGAAAGTACTGTAGACGAGCCAGGGATAAGTTAGAATAAATATCTCAAGACAGGAGCAAATACAGGGCACAGGAAACTGGATCCAGGGCAAGGTGTAGTTACATAGTTACATTTAAATCAAGGGCTCAGCCCACGGCTGGCTGTAACCTCCTGGGAAGGACTTCTCTGTTGAAGGAGAAATACTGATTTAAATACAACTGTTACACGTATCACTGCTAGCAAAGTAGTGAGACTCCCGGAGACAGGGAATTGAAATACCCTGAACATTTTGGCTAAAGCAAGAAACCGGGGAGGAGCTTCGAGATGGGACAAGAAACAGTGGGCCCAGCACCACCACCATCATTATTCTGGCTTGAATGATCACGTGTAAAGACAGCGTGTTCAGACGAGGCTGAGAAATCAAATACAGTTACACGTTCTGAGGACCCAACTCCGAAACAAAACAGATAAGAAAAAAAAAAAGTTCATAAACAGAAAAATCGGGGGCAGGCAAAAAATAAGAGCAGGGAGCGGGTTCCGGGAGAGATCCCGGGAAAAGGGACCCCGTGGAGAGGGCGGCCCGCCGGTGTAAGCAGACCAGAGCCCCGCCCACGGAAGCGTCCAGGCCCCGAGGAGACAGGTCGGGAGGCTGGAGGTGAGTGGACACAAGTGGCTGTGCAGAAGACGGCCAAGGGCAAGCAGGTGTGTGCCAGCCACCTCCCCGGAGACTCCTGGTTCCAGCTGGCCCCGGGGCTTCGTCACCCTCCCCAGCGCCTCCCCGCGGTCTGCTTAGAGCCTGTGGCCGGAGTGGGGGGTGGGTGAGGGTCACCCTGGTGGGACGGGGATCCTGGCGGAGAAAGTCTCGCATGGGGTCCGGGGCCAGTGGCACAGAGGATGTCCCAGTGTCCCTGCTCCTCCTCTCAAGGGGTGCGGAGGAGCTGGAGCAGACCAGGGCTGCTACCCTCAGCACCGTGCGCCCCGCCGCCTTTCGTGCTGCCCTTTCGACAGAATACACAGGCTAGGCCCAGGCACGGACACTCAGCTAATGGGCAGAGCCGGGGCTGGGACGTGACCTCCCTCCTCAGGCTGGTGGAAGGATCCATCCTTGGGGGAGGGGGGGCACGGGGGGGGGGGGAGCTCCACAGGGCTGGTCTGCATGAGGCTCCAGCACCGTCCAGGTGCAGAGGCATCAGGGAGCCTGCTGAGGGGATGGGGTCCAAGGACCCCCACCCCCAGGCTTACCCACCTGCCCTCCTGAGCCTCCCTGCCTCACCCACACCTCTCAGCAACCTTCCTGGCCTGGCTCTCTCCCAGCCCGGGTGCCCACTGGAACCCTGGACGCTGGCCCAGCCCTGGGACCAGGATCCATGGGTTCCAGCAAAGACATCAGGAGCCTTGAGTGCCCAGGAAGCCTGGAGAGCCACCTCCATGCTAAGGAAACGCTGACCCTCCAGATTTCTGACCCGCTGAGTCCAGCCTGCTGGGCCAGAAGCCTGCAGCCCGAGCGTGGGTGGCTGGACGGCCAGACGGTGGCAGGGCCAGGAGCCAGGGCCCGACCCCCAGCAGTGGGTGGTATGATGGGAGCATCCTGGGGCGCTGCATTCCGTCTTCCATGATGATGTAAGACTGTTTTTACAGGCAAACATTACAAGAGGCAAATCTGAACGATGTTTCAGTTCTTGTTTGCAGATCTTAGGCCGCCAGGTCCTGAGTCTGCAGAGGGAATAAGACAGTACCACTAATGCAGGCTGAGACCTTACCCAGGGTCGCCCCTCCCAGGCCTGCCCTTTCACCCTGGCTCTGCTCCCCTGGGGTCAGCAGCCTCCTACTATGCCTGTGCCTGGCCCAGACAGCAACGCCCGGCCCACAGGGTCCAGGACCTCCCATCCTCCACCCCCCTCCCGAGGGAGTGCTGGTTACTGATTGAACACTGGAATGAATCTTAAATGGGACATCTCCCGGCAATAATCACCAGGACCAAAGGCCTCTGTTCTCTCTTCTGGCTCACAGACCAGCTCCTTCTAGCCTCAGCTGGACCCCACACACAAGCCGGCCAGGTGAGGCCAGACGTGCCAGAGCAGTGCTTGAAGCCCCTGGACGCTGTGTCATGTGGACCAGCTGGTGGCTCTGGGCCCTGGTGGCCGTCTGCACTGGAGACCGGTTCCGGGATGAGGCTGAGAGAATCATGCAGGGCACACCTGTCATTGACGGGTAAGTGGCCACTGGGGACGGGACGGGGGGTCCGGGGCCGGAGGGGCTAGGAGCTCGTGTGACCCTGACACTGACATTGCCTAATCTCTGCTGGGGCTCAGTTTCTTCAACCACAACATGGCTTTTGCCTTTGCTGGCCTCAGCTTATCCGTGGGGTCTCTTAGGGCCCCCCCTAAAGCTTCAGCAGATGATGGTCTGTAGGGAATGGAGCAGTTAAAAGGCCCCTGCGGCCCTCAGCAGCTCCTGGGGTGCCCTACGAGCTGACTCCCTGCACCCTGGGTGCCAGCTCCCAGCTCAGAGTGGGAGGAGGTTGGGGCCTGGCCCAGGGCACGCCTCAAACTAGCCATGTAGCCCAAGGAGCCATATTCCCTCCCTGGGCCTTAGTTTCCCCTGGGAGGCCCCTCCTTAACCCTCCTCCAAGACCTTTCTCATTCCTCTCCCTCTCCTGCATCCGCCTTGGGGAGACCTCCTCAGGCACAGGGTCCCCGGGTCACCTTTGTGCTGTGTTCCCAGCTTGACCTTACTTGCATGTCCGCTGACCCACCCACCCCCACAGAGGGAGACCCCTTTCTAGCCAAGACCCTGGTGACACCTTGTGGTTTTGTGTCTGATGCACAGCCAAACTGGCAGGGCCTGTCTCCTCCAATGCCCGGTGCGTCCGCCCTCCTCCCTTGCCCCCATCTCCACCTCTGCTGGGTCATCCGGTGAGCCTCTGGCTGTCCTTCGTTCCACCAGCGGAGGTCTGGTCTCAGGGCTGCAGCCAGAGGGAGTCTGGGAGACAGAAATACCAGCTCCCGTGCCCTGGCTCAAACTCCCCACCTGTCACGGCTCCCACTGAGCTCAGAGTATTGTCTAAGTCCTGCAATGGACCCCAAGACCCTGCACTGCCTTCCCCAGCCATCCCCACACTCCCGGGTGCCCCAGGCAGGCTCGTGCTGTCCCTGCCGGTCCCCATGTCCACGCTGCCTCCCTCAGCTCCTCCCGGGCTTTGCTCTGGGCTACCTCTCCTGGCCCCCGTGTGAAATGCCACCTGGGCACACACACCCCTGCCCCTCCCGCTTCCTTTCCTGTCCCATTTCCAACATACCAGCAGGGAGCGAGGACCCCGTTCCCTGGGCACTCAGTCTGAAGGGCCGTGTGGCACACACACACACACACACACACACACCCTTGGGCGCTGGAAGCGTTAGGGGAGCACCTGTTTGTGCCTGTCTGGCACCCACTAAGTGCGTGATAAATGTTGCGGTCGTGACTATCTGGCAGACGCCTCTGGGCTTTGTTGGACAAAATAGTCTGCAAGAAAAGCAGAGAAAACGGGGTGTGTCCTTATACAGGAAGCCCAGGGAGCTGTGGCAGCCCCAGAGAAGGGAGGGGCCGCCAGCCCTTCCCCATCTGCCCCTGGTTCCTCCCACGTACCTCCTTCCTGGCCCTGGGGTCCCCTCATACACACTCAAGGGGAGTGAGGCAAAGAGAGGTCTGCGGAGAGGCTGCTGCCCTGGGCTCCCACCCCAGATGGAGCCCCTGCTGTCTGGTAGAAGATGCCAACAGTATGAGCCCGAGAAGGTGCTCCTTCATTCTGAGGACCCACCGGGGTGGGGGGGGGCAGCTGGGCACAGAGAGCGGGGTGCAAGGTCAGGTGCTGGGGGTTGGGAGGACCGCAGGAGGGGTAAGTGGCTCCAAGAGCCTAGACAGCCCGGAATTCTCAGGGAGCTGGAATTTGGGAATCGGGATTGTCCCAAGAGCCAGACAGTGAAGAGCAGGTGACAGGACCCAAACCGACACTGTGATATTAGCTCCTCTTGCAGGTAAGAGACTCAGGTAAGTGGTTTCAACAAGAGAAAGAGCCCCAGGGAGTCCTGGCTGTTCCACAGTGTGACGCAGCAGCCATCATTCCCAGCTCATGCTTCAAAGTGGCCGCTGCAGCCCCAGCCTTTACGTCTGCATGCCAGCCAGCATGAAGGAGGAAGGGACATAGAAAGGGCAAAGGGTGAGCGAGTCAAGGAGAGCTTTTGGGAGCTGTCAAAGGGCAGAACTTAGTCACATGGCCACACCCAGCAGTAAAGGGACACGAAGTCGCTTTATTTCCAATGGCCAGGTTTCCTGCTAAAAACAGGCGGTTCTGTTACCAAGAAAAAGACGGAGAGTGGGTAGCGGGCCTCCAGCAGTCGCTCCTACAATAGCTGGCTGTCGTTCAAGTGCTTGGAATGGTCACCTCCCCCCTTGGAGTAGGAGCAGGGTCCTCTGACCACTGGGGGTGCTGCCCAGGCCACACAGATAAGGAGGGTGGATCCAGGCTCCAGAAGGGCATTGTTGGCCGCAGGGCAAATGTGACCTCTGTTCCCCACTCCGGGCTCCGGGCTCCGGCGAAGGCAGGAGGGGAGGAGGTTGGAGCAAAGTGCCCCTCCCTCCTGCTGGGTTCCTGGCTGCCGGCTGGAGGGTGGGGCAGCCGGGAGGAACGTCCCCTCCAGGGACCCTGCCCAGTGCTGCCCAGAGGCACGGACACTCTGGGCTCACCTACACGTGCCCCCGCTCGGTCAGCAAGGGCGTTCTGACCACCAGCCCACACCCGACCACGTCAAAACACAGCTGTGGCGGTGGCCCTCGAGAGAGCTGGGGGGCTTCCAGAGTCTGGAGCCAGCTTGCTTTGGAAAGGCTCACCCCAGGACGGCTGGCCGAGGAGGTCCGGGCGCTCACAGTTTAGTCTCTGAGCCAAGTACCAAAGCGTCCCCATGTTACAGGTGGAAAAACTGAGGCCAGAGAGGCAGGAGCCAGGATTGGGGATGGGAACTGGATGGGGGTTGAGGACAGAGCTGGGGGAGGGGTCTCAAAAGCAGAAGCGGCCCCTCAAACAGAGCAGTGGCCCCTGGGATGGGGCTGGGAGCGGGACTGGGGCGGGAGGGGAGGGTGGGTGAGGCACCAGGCCCCTCGCCCTCGCCCTTGCTGGTGCATCAGGGATCCCGCAGGGGCTCTCCACGGGTGTCCCGTATTCCAGGCTTGGCTGATCCAAGTGCAGATTCCACCTCGCAGGTCTGGGACTTTGCATTTCCCCGGCTCCTGCTTCTTCCATGTGTGAACTTAGGGGGTGCTGGCAGCCCAGAGGTCTCTCCCCCTCGAGGCTGCTCCTGGCTCCTGGGTCCAGGGCTGAATCTGCCCAGCCCTGTGGGTTCTTGCCTTTGCAGCCCAGACCGGCCCCTGCCATTCGCCTCCTCCTTCGAGGGGCCTCTCCCTCCATAGGGGCATAGAAGGATGGGCAGAGCGGTCACAGAGGCCCCGGTGCCCCCAGAGGATGGGGTGTGTGTTGGGGTGGGGGTGGGGGGTGCCAGACAGGCCACACCCCCCTTTCCCTTCCCCCTCCCTGCAAGGGGAGGATTTCAAGAGTCCCCCGCCCAGCTGCCCGTGTCAACCAGCACTATTCATGGAGGTGGTTTGAACCCTGCCCGTTCCCCAGGACGATTCTGGAGACAAACATCTGCCCTTGCCTCTTGGGCAGCGGAAGGCCCTTGGAGGGAACACCTCCCAGAGGCTCTCTCTGCTCACAGTCACCCGGCCTGGGTGTGGGGCACAGTGGAGCAACTCACCTGCGCGTAGGCGTGCTCGGATCACGAGCAATCCGCCAGCCCTGTGGCCGGCTCTAATTCCCAGCCTGTGAGGGAGTTCGGAGGCCCCCGGCCTGAGTGGCCACCCTGACTCGGCCCTGGCCCTTTCTCCCGCCCCCACCCCCACCCCCAGGCACAATGACCTGCCCTGGAGGCTGCTGACCATGTTCAACAACCAGCTTCAGAGCGAGAGGGCCAACCTGACGAGCCTTGCCAACACACACACCAACATCCCCAAGCTGAGGGCTGGTTTTGTTGGGGGCCAGGTATGGCTCAGCCCGGCCCCACGCTTGCTCACACTGGCGTCCACCCATCTCCCTCCCCACCGCGTCCTGGCCAGGGTGCAGGCGTGCCCGGGGCGGTGTCCCTCCTGAGCCCTTGGGGCCACAAGTCTTTGGAAGGGGACGCTGGTGGCCACCAAGGCCGTCCCAGGACTCCCGGGGCAGGAGGGAAGCGTGTGTAGCGTGGGGCCGGGGGCCAGCGGTCCTAGCCGCCCTCCCCCGCGGCCCCTAGTTCTGGTCTGCGTACACGCCCTGCGACACCCAGAACAAGGATGCCGTGAAGAGGACCCTAGAGCAGATCGACGTCATCCAGCGCATGTGCCAGACGTATCCGGACACCTTTGTGTGTGTCACCAACAGCGCAGGTGGGTCCCGGTCCGGCCCGCCTTCCTGAGCCCCTGCCGCTGCCCGCCCCAGCCCCGGGCAGGGTGGCTAGGGCCGCCCGGGTGTGCCTTACGTCGAAACTCCCCGGACGCCCAGGTGCCCGACGCCCTCAGCCAGCTCTCCTCACAGGCATCCGGCAGGCCTTCCGGGAGGGGAGGGTGGCCAGCCTTGTTGGCGTGGAGGGTGGCCACTCCATAGACAGCAGCCTGGGCGTCCTGCGGACACTCTACCGCCTGGGCATGCGGTACCTGACCCTCACCCACAGCTGCAACACGCCGTGGTAGGTGACCCCGGGGAGGCCACCAGGCCGCACGGGAGGGGGTGGGGGCGGGCCGCGGGGCAGGGCCGATCCCTAGCCCTGCTCTCCTCCGGCTCCTTCCTCCCCGTCCGAGCACCCTGGGTCCGGGTGGGCCACGACCACCACTCCATCCCTGGCACACCTGCTCTCCGCTCTCCCAGGGCTGACAACTGGCTGGTGGACACGGGAGAGGACAAGGCTGAGAGCCAAGGCCTGTCACGCTTTGGCCAGGTAAGGCGGTGGGCGGGGGGGGGGGGGGCGTCAGGCAAGGACCACAGTCACCCTCAGAGAAGTGACCCAGGACGCAGTTTCTCGCCTCTCAGGACCTGTTTCTTCACCTATAAACTGGAGCCCCAGGGCCATCCCAGGGTGGGTACCCGCTGGAGCGGCCGGGCATCTTCCAGCCATTGAAGAGTCCACGAACGCCTGGCCAGCGAGGGGACCTTTCCCAAATGTCCCGCCCGCCATGCCGGGACTCGTGGGGGTGTGTGGGGGGGCGCTGCGGTGAACCCCGGGTGTGCAGACACAGTGTGGCCAGTGCAGCCTTCCTGACCCCTGAGCCCTGTGTCGGCGCAGAGTGTGGTGAAGGAGATGAACCGCCTGGGGGTCATCATCGACCTGGCCCACGTGTCCGTGGCCACCATGAAGGCTGCCCTACGCCTGTCCACGGCTCCCGTCATCTTCAGCCACTCCTCGGCCTACAGCCTGTGCCAGCACCGGCGCAACGTGCCCGACGACGTGCTCCGGCTGGTGGTGAGGGGCTGCGGGCCGGCCCTCCCTCCCTGCCCCTCCCCGCGGTGGTCCCGGAGTGCCCCGCCTCCTCCCGTGCCCACAGCTCCACTGTTCTCCTGAGCAGAAGCAGACGGGCAGCCTGGTGATGGTTAATTTCTACAACGACTACGTTTCCTGCAGACAGGAAGCCACCCTGTCCCAAGTAGCAGGTTGGTGCGTGTGAGTGGCCACGGCAGCTGGGCGGGGGAGGGCCACTCCCGGGACCCACACCCGCCGCCTTCCTCGGTAGACCACCTGGACCACATCAAGAAGGTGGCAGGAGCTGGAGCCGTGGGCTTTGGTGGGGACTTTGATGGTGTTTCAAGGTAAGGGGCAAGGCCTACATCCTGTGGCTGACCTGGGAAGGTCACACCACGTCCCCCACCCCACCCCACCTCCGCCCCCGCCCAAACATGTCATGAGGGTCTGAAGCTCGGACGGGCCCAGCACGTCTGGGTCTGAAGGCCACTGCACTGGACCCCCCGATGCCTTGGTGTGGGGGCCACAGGGGGTCATGGGGAGGTGGACAGGCCCGAGGCCCTCACCCCTGGGACGCAGGGCCTGGTTCTCTCTGCCCTCACCTCAGGCTCCCCGTGGGGCTTGAGGATGTGTCCAAGTACCCAGACCTGGTGGCTGAGCTACTCAGGAGGCGGTGGACAGAGGCGGAGGTCAGGGGCGCCCTGGCCAACAACCTGCTCAGGGTCTTTGAGGCAGTGGAACAGGTAAGGAGAGGCCGGTGCACCAGCCCACCCTTCTCTGCCGGAAGGCAGGCAGGCGGCCCAAGCAGTGTCTGTCCCCAGGTGAGCGATCACACACAAAGTCCCGAAGAGGAGCCCATCCCGGCAGACCAGCTGCAGGCTTCCTGCAGGACGATGTACGGCTACTCAGAGGCCCCCAGCCTCCACCGGCAGCCAGGGGCCCTGCTGGCCTCCCTCACTACCGTCCTCCTCGGCCTGGGTCTTCTGTGATGCCCTGGGGCCTGGACGTCTAGGGTCCTCCTCCGGCCCCGGGGAGATGGTGGCATCAGGGCAGGGAGAATCCGGCTCCCCAGGCACGAAGCCCGGCCTCTCCTGAGCAGGCACCGGGGCTCAGCTGAGGGCAGGAAGGTGTGGACAGTTCCAGACACAGACACACAGTGGACCCTTAATAAAGGCAACAACCCTTCCGAGCTATGAGGCTGTGTGTTCTCAGCATCCCAGTCCTTGCGGGGGTGGGGAGGGGGGCTCCTGAGCACCCAGGGCAAATTTTGTCAAGATGGTCCCAGGCTAGACCCCCAGACTCAGGCGTGCCTGGGTCCTCCGGAAAGAGATTTGCATGGACATTGCTGAAGTCTAAATAAACACACGGTCTGGGCTTCAGTCCCCACCCCCCCCCCCAAGCCACCACCACCATATGAATGAACATGCACACTCATGTATACCTGCGTGCCCCACACCATTACGCACACACGTGTGACCACACCCCTGCCGCCTGGCTCAGCTGCTCTCAGAGGGGAAAGCCAGGTCTGGAGCAGGGCTGAACCACCCCCCGACTCCAGGCCGGAGCCTCTCAGAACGCTCTGTCTGGATGGCCTCAGACTCCTGAGCAGGAGCCCCAGTGCCCAAGCGCCCGGGCCCTAAGACACCCACAAACAGGTGGACGGCCCCTTGCAGCTCCCAACCTGAAGGTGGACAGCCCACAGGTGCCTGCTTGGCCCCCCCACCCCTGTGAAGGTCCCTCCCTGTCATTCCCAGGCAGATCTGTGACCAGAAGGGACATTTGTAGGTATTTGCTGATTACTTAGGATCGATTCAGTGTTAAAGGAGGAAACCGCAAGTAAGGGTCACTGTCCTGAGTTGGCCAGATTCTGCCCAAAGCCCCCACTGGGCCACAGGGGATTCGTCTGGCGGAGACTGTGGGGAGGGTCCCCTTGGTGGCCTGTGGAGGCGGCACACGAATTCTGCTAACCTGGAAGTACTTTCTCCCCAGGCTTCACTACTTGTCCTGAAATGACCCGGATCCCTCCAGAGCACCACAGCTGCGGGCGCCACACCAGAAACATATCTGGTCCCGGGGAGTGCTTTGCTGTCCAATTCCAAAAGCCCTTTCCTGAGGAGTAAATAAAACTGGGGGGGGGGAGGTGTCTTGGGGCCCTGATAACTGCCAGAGAGTCAGTAGGCAGGGGCACGCACCCTGCAGCACGGACGCCCTTCAGGACGCGAGCGGCTTCCGCCAGGGGCCGCCCATCCCCCGGCAAGGCCCACATCAGCACTTCTCAAACTCAGGGTGCAGAAGCAGCTCCAAGGACCCCGCTGCCCCGCAGATACGCGCGGGTGTGGGGGCGGGAGGTGGGGGACGCCGCTGGGCAGCCTGAGGCTGAGGGGCAGGGGCACGATTCGGTTCCAGCTGTCAGCCTTGGTCACGTCTCACACGTTCGAAACCCCCATCCACACCGGGCAGGATGGGGAGCACCCACAACAGAAGATCGTGATTCTAACAGGAGAGGGACACGACCACTCCAAGGTGGCTGTGGACGAGAACAGAAGCACCGGGGGGGGGGGGGCCTCTGGTCAGCGAGGGGTTTCTCTCAGGGGTGTGGCCAGCAATTCTGAGCACCTTGTGCAAACACAAGCAAAGATGGGAGTGTGTGCGGCAGGCTTCTGCGGTCAAAGTTCCAAATGAGGAGAGGGAGCCTGATGACAGCAAGTGGTGGTTTCTGGCGCTCGGGGGACAAACACCCACAGGTCCACGCTGACATAAACGATGGAGTAAGAAAAAGGAAATGGAGGGAAGGAACTCTTCAACGGAACGGCACCTGGGAAATCACCACGAATATTGTCACCAGGAGATTCACGGAGGCACACGGAGGTCGGGACAAAGCATGACCATGTTTGCGGGCGATGCTGTCAGTCTTACGATTTTTTCCAACAGGACATGCAACAGAGGAGGAAAATGAGACTTTCTGGGGGAGATGCCTGGCCCACACCACGTGTCCTAGGTAAGTAAGACAGTGACACCGTGCACCTGGTGTGAGGCACTGAGGACACAATACCACTTCTGTGGGGTTCCCGCCTACAGCTGTGACCTCAATGTCATCGTGTGAAAACGTCCCATCAGCCCAAGTGGCAAGCCGGTCTGCAAAACAGCTCGCCGGCAGGCCTCAGGGTCACCCAGGCGCCAGAGACAGAAGGGAGGGACGGTCCCAGGTTGGGTGGACGAAGGCAGGGCAAGCAGACAGCTGTCAGGGTGGTTTCCTGACACAGCGGGTTACGTGCGGTTCACTAGGAAGGGGACGTGAAGGGCGCGGTAAACACAAGCGTATACAGACCGTGTGCTCTGCTGCTTTTATGTGTGTTTAAAGTCACTTCAAGGTAAAAACTTAAAACTTCGGATTCTAATTCCATCTGTGGGGGCGGAGCTTGAGAACATGCACACCTCACCCCCACCCCACCCACCCTCCTCTAGGTACCCTTCCTCAGCCTCCTAAATGGGGGCCAGAGAGCCATACCAAGGGTCCCGCCTACGGCCCCACCTACGGCCCCCTGCCCGTCCCAAAGCCAGGAAAGCAAAGCTGGAGAAAGTTCTCAGGGATCAATTTGTTTACTCACAACAGTGTTTTAGGAACCGGGCAAACACACCCACTGCTCTTTGATGAGCCACAGCCACGGAGTCCTGTACCCCCCGGGCAGCAGGACTCTCAGGACCTTCTCTGCACCCCTGCACGTGGGTGCCCTGAGAGACCACGGCCAGGGAGTGAGGCGAGGTTGGCACTGAGGAAGGGAAGCCAGCACTCTGACCCTCCCTCTGGGGTCTCCCATCACCGTCCCGAGTGCCCAGGCCAACACAGTGGACTTCACAGAACACCCACAGCCACCAGGCCCAAGAGATCAGACGTAGCAAGTCACGGTAAGGGCCTCCGACGTTTCTGTGCACAAGAGCCGTGGGTGTGAGGGCAGCCCCAGCAGCTGAAGGCATCTGGGGAGGACTGGTCGGGGGGGTCAGTCGAGCACGGAGCTGGGCCCTGCTCAGTACCAGCCACGAAGTAACCACCCTCCCACCCCCCCAGCCTGTGCCAAGAAGGAGGCTTGGACCAACCCCCCATCTGCCGCCTGCTCCTATTTTGGCAAAAAAACAAAAAACGCAGGAAGCTTCAAGAAAACAAAGTAAACTTCAGGACATGAAAAAACTAGAAACCACAGCCCGTCACGGAAAATCTTCAGGAGGGGGCTGCAGCCAGCTGCTTGGCTGTGGCTGCCACGGCCCTGCCGGGGGCACCTCTCCCAGCCCCCGAGCTCCGGCCAGCCACTCTGACTTCCAGGTCTGACGATGTGGGCAGGAGGAGAGCCCAGTCGTGGGGAGGCACCTATTATTTACAGTACAGGAGAGCACGGTGCAGGGGCAGCACCCGACCGGGAGCGTGAGACCGTCTGCTCCCCGCTGGGAGGGGCCTCGGTGCAGACCCTGAGTTCCTGGAGGACACACGACACGGCTCTCAGGGCTCAGGTCCTCCAGAAGTGGCAGTGGAACAAGACACCGCCCCCGCCCCCGGGTGGGCCCGCCTGGACTCAGAGCCTGGAGGCTTACACCGAAACCCTGAGTGGGGACGCGGCCCGAAGCATGGAGCAGCCCTGACCCCTGCTGACTGCCAGCAGCACGGAGTCCGGAGGCCCCCACGGTCCACACAGTGTCCACTGGTCAGTCCCCATCAACTCCTCAGAGGGTAGGAGATGGAGAGGGGGAGGCCTGCAGAACCCCGAGCTGGTCAGCCCGAAGTCACAGAAATAACCCACAGAAGTCAGAAGTTTGTGCAAACTCACCCACCAGGACACAGAGCCACCGTCTACGCTAAGAGGAACAATTCCCAGGCCTGGAGGTCAGGGCTGCGCTGCAGGGCGTGCAGGAAGGCAAGAGGCGTGGGGTGGGGGTGGGGGGGAGATGTAGCCCTCGTCCCCGGCCCTTCCCGCACGTCGAGGCGGGGGACGCAGGGCCCTGCAGCAGGATCTCGGCTAGTTTCTCAAGGCGGCCAACCTGTGAACCAACACAACTCCTGTGAGGGAGGGCGAGGGGCAGAAGCACTCTGACCTGCTGTGCGCTCAAGGACAAGACGTCCACCCTGGGGGCCAAAGGCCCCACACCCATCCATGGAGCTGTGACCCTCTCCTTTCAACTTCAGCTTTGCATGGCTGCGTGGGGACAGCAGAGGAAGGCTCGGGGAATGGCCACGCGTTGTCAAGAATCTGGTATGTTAAGGACAACAGAGACCTCCTTTCCTCAAGCGAGCAGTGAACAGGTGTGGGAGCACCATGGCTGACACACAACACAGACACTGAACAAGGAGCAGGGGAGAGAGGTGATCAGATGGGCCCTGGACTGGGCCTCGGGGCGGGGGCCTCCTGGAAAGAGCGGTACTCGCTGGGCCAAAGTCTACCGCACAAGCGCTCCCCCTAAGGCCATGCTGCGCCTCCCTTCCCCCACATCAGAGCACAGGTCGGGGGCACCGAGCCCCTCCCCCACAACCCTAGCGTCAAGAGCATGGAGGAGGGACCGGGGGTGCACCTCTGGGGCACCGAGCCCACCTCCGGGAAAGCTGGTCCTCCTGGCTGCGCACGGAGCTCTCCCCCACGGCGGAGGCGCCCTCGGGCAGCTGGCTGAGCTGGTCCAGGACCTCCAGGCCGTTCTCCTCGGCGATCTGCACGATGAGACTGTCCACCTGCTCCTGTGGCGTGGTCAGCGTGGTGGCCGAGCTCATGGAGTCCTCCATTACCTGGGGGTCACATTCTGGACAGGTGGGTGCAGGCCCCAGGAACCTCCCCTGCAGCCTCAGGAGGACCGCCGCGGCCCCGTTTCCGGCCACCCATCTCAACCACGTTTCCTGCCCACTCCCTCCACCCGCACGAGGCTCCCGCCCCCACTCTCTCTAGGGCACTTCCTCCAGCACTCTCAGCTCCCTGGGTGTTGAGCTGACACGTCTGCACACAGCCTCTCTGGCCAATCACTGGGAGAGGCCCCCACACCCTAGCCCTGGGCCTCCCTCTTCTCTGCTAGGCCTCCGTGTGCCGACTCCAGCCTCCACAAGACTCAGGTGCTCTGGAGGTGAGCCCCCCCCGCCAGGGGGCACCGCTAGGGAAACACACGCGTGGCCCACCACGAGCCGCCCCCCGGATGCACCCCTGCACACCCAGACCACGGGCGA